GAGAGAGAGAGAGAGAGAGAGAGAGAGAGAGAGAGAGAGAGAGGGAGAGAGAGAGAGAGAGAGAGAGAGAGAGAGAGACAGAGAGAGAGACAGAGAGAGAGACAGAGAGAGAGACAGAGAGAGAGAGAGAGACAGAGAGAGAGACAGAGAGAGAGAGCTTATGGCAATTATTGCTCACACTGACAACGCTTCTATTTTTTTAAAATGTGGAATGGTTAGATGAGGCTGATGTTGACTTGTCGGATATATCAGTTCCGCAAGATCAATATAAATAAATCCGCTACTAAGCCAATTGTTACAAAAGAGCAACACCTGGCTACTCCATGAGAAGTTGAAAGCAGCTAGAAACTATAATACAATTGTCAGCTATGCTTACAGTAATCATATTTATACTTCCACGAACAATGATATTTAATCTTTAACAACTTTTTAATTAACTCTGCCTTATAAAATTTAAGTGTAAAATCTTTTTAACTCGGTGATTAACAAGATAAATACATAATTAAATGTTTTTCCTATAATTGTATGTGTCAAGTAAATAAATCAGCTCAAAATATAATGTATTTATATGTTTATTTATATTACAATTCTTTGTGTGTTGGGGGGGGGGGATAAAATGTGACATAATTACTTACGGTCATTGACATTTTGACAGTTGTTGACAAAGGGAGGGAGGGGGTAAAAAATTGCATACAAATAGATAAATACATAATTAAATGTTTTTCCTATAATTGTATGTGTCAAGTAAATAAATCAGCTCAAAATATAATGTATTTATATGTTTATTTATATTACAATTCTTTGTGTGTTGGGGGGGGGGGGATAAAATGTGACATAATTACTTACGGTCATTGACATTTTGACAGTTGTTGACAAAGGGAGGGAGGGGGTAAAAAATTGCATACAAATTGTTGACGTAATTAATGGACGCCCCCTTGTTCATTTTTACTTTTACTTTTTGTCGACCAATTATTTCAATTTAACTGGGCCAGTACCGTATATGTGACTCAATACACTGCATAGAATTTAGCCAATTAGGATTAGAATTCTCATTTAAAATATCATTATGTCAATAGTGAAGTTTTTTTTTTTTCGTGTTCATTTCTGGGTAAATATAATGAAAATAAAGTTTATTAAAGAAAATAATTCGGTGCAAATTTTATTTGAAGTTCAATTTCTTTATTTACCTAAAATCACAAGCGGCCCGCGGAGAGGTAACTCTTGAGAAAATTTAACATAAAAGGCCACTTTTGGTGGCCACCCCTGTTATTTGATAATTCGTGTAGACTAACTGATTAGGCAATTATCTCAATGTTAATTTTGTCAAGGCTTCATCAATTTATGGTATAGATTTGACCACAAAATTTTTCAAAGAAAAGAAAAAAAAATGAGAGTTAGATGTGCAGGGTAGGGATACTTGTTGTGTGTTAAAAGTTTTTTTTTTTTTTTTTTTTTTTTTTTGTGCATCAAAATGTTTCCCTTTGTGTTTGTGAAGAAGACAAAAACTCAAGAGTTTAAATCGCTTAAAAATATATCATAACTTAGCCACATGAAGTGGCTTCGCTGAGCACAAGTGTTCCGCTTGAAAACGGATTGAGAACCACTGATTTAGACGAATAATTCGATCAGTTTTTAGGAGTTAATCAGAAAGTTTTCATAGTATTTTTAAAATGTCGTTTTTAAAATCCTCACATTTCTTCTAAAAGTGATAGAACGATTGTCTTGATGTCTGTGTACAGCTAACACTAACAGCTAGCTCTTTCCAATTGTTTGTTGTTTGCGATTTGTGCATGTCAGGTGTATCTGAATTGGTTTAGATGGAGTAGCTACGCAAGGTAGTCCAGCCCTGTTTTCAATGGCTGTTAGATTTTAAATGAAGATTTTTAAGTGTCAAAAAAATCATCAGAAAATCTCAAGTCTTTACATTTATAAAAGTTAGGTTGTTCTAAATTTATTATTAAATATTTTAAATGTTATATTTTCAGACCCTACTCTCTTTAAGACATAATTACCTCCCCTTGCATAATCAAAGAATTACAGCACCTTGGCGAGATATAAAAATTCGTTTGTTCCAAAATCTGTACGAATTTACCAGCGTACTCCCCCAAGAAGTCACACAACTAAATGAGAACTAATAAGTCCCGGAAATGACTAAGAGAGTTCACTGAATGGCAGTTTTTTCACTAGTGATATAGTTTAATATAGGTGTCTTGTGTTCAATTTGTTTTATTTATATGCTGAAAATGAACAATGCAATCCAAACACATTTCCATTTTTTTGGATCAATAAAAGAATCTTATCGTATCTTATCGCATCTTATCAAAAGTTCAGCAAATTAAACTTCATGAGGAAATTACAAGTCTGGTTAGTCAAGAAGCAGGTAGCTTGCAACAAGGGGGGGGGGGCTGTGGTACCATACAAGAGCTATTTTCATTAAGTTCTTGTAATATCAGAATTTGTGTCAGCAACTTTAACTCTGCATTCATTGAGTATCAAACCAGTTTTATTCAGCGAATTCAAATTTGAACTATGTATCTGCTGTGCAATATACTTGAAATGTTACGTCCCCCTCAATAATTACAAGCATTTAAAAATCAGAACAGTCAAATTTTTCTATACTAGTGTTGTGCAAACAAATCAATGTAGCCAACATTTAAATTATAAAATTTTGGCTTTAATCATCAATTTTGTTAATAATTTTATGCTAAATAAATTTGGCAGTGAATGTAGAAAACAAAGTCTTGACTCTACAATTGAAAGAATGTCTACCATGGTCTTTTATTTCTATGATGGTCTTAATTCTACTTATAACTACTTAAGTTAAAGTAATTGTTCACTTAAATATAAATTTCACAAAACAAAACAAAAAAAAACAAAAAACAAAAAATTCAGTTTTTGTGAACTTGTAAACATTTATTCTTTTGTCATAAAAGCAAATAAATTATGCAATAAAAGAACACAAAGTGGTCAAGTAAAAAATATGTGACAATGTAGAGCAACAAACTGAGTACCGTATCAACCGTATCAGTACTTTAAATGTTTTTTTAAAAAAGGTATTAGATACTTATTGGCCATACTTTAAAAATTAAAATGTTAAATAAAGTTAAATTACAATAGCAAACCAATGCTAATCAAGACAAAGGATTGTGACTTTCTTTAGCAAACTGAAACAGGAATTGCAATTTCCCTAGGAGCTTCAAGTTCAAGTGTCCAATTTGAGGTTGTGAGGACACCATTTGAATTTAGTGAGAAAGTAAGTGACTTGGGATCAACATCCTGAAAAAAAAAATGTTGCACCTCCATATTGCAGTCTTAATACTTGTACGTTTTTAAAACATTTACCTGACGAACATGTTTTAAAACACATCTGACATGAAAAAACAAAATAAAGTGCCAATTAATGTCTTATTCCATTAAAGTTGATGTAAAACCATTGAGCTTAATATACTTTTTCTTTTAAATATGTAAATACTGCTAGAATACACAAATGCTGTTCCAGGTTATTACAATTCAAACACTGTGGTCCCCACCCCATTTTAAAAAAAAAAAAAAATTTTTAAAAGAAAAAAAATCTGCTATTAAGTCAACTTTTGACCGAAGCGATGATTAAATGGGATTTCTGAAAATTGGTTTTGAAACAGTATTTATTTTTTACAAAAAGACTTGTACCTGAATTATTTTTTTAATATAACATTTCTACTTTGAAGTTATAGTTACTTAAGTTAATTAAAACATTTATTAAAAATAATAAACATGTCTCAAGAGTAGTGAAATTTTGTGTGTAATGTCCCACCGCCCTAGTGTGAGATTAGTGGATTCATTTCATTTGTACACGAGAAATGATTGAGAAGCATAAATCTCGACAACGCATGTGAACATAAACTTAAGTTAACTACAGACTCATGAGAATAAGCTTATTTCAACTGCATGCTGATCAACTGTTCTGCTTACCCCCGGGAACGCTTGTGTACACCCTGCAGATCTCACGAGACACAAAGCCGTGATTGTTCTGATTCTCTTCATGTTTTGCATGGACCGTCAGCCGCTGGTTATCAGATGTAATTTTAATCTCCTCTGGTTTGTAGTGTTTTAAATCAAAGCGTCTTTGTCAGCATTTTGAATCTGGAACAAATTAAATGAGATGAATATTAATAGACCATTATATGTTGTATGCATTTGGTTGTGAACAATTCAGTTACAATTTTCATAAATACTCTTAATTTTTTTTACTGAAGATTAGAAATAATATGGGGTAACATAAATATCTAATGCACAAGGTTCGACAACCCTCTTTTTTTTTCTCTTGAATAATCTAACTTCACCTGTATCACTCTTTTAAACCATAATTAAAATATTTCACCTCAAGAGCTGGTACCTAAGACCTAAGGAAGCTAAAATAAAAGGAGGTAAAAAATAATAATAGGTATAATCAAATGCATGTTGATGAGAGGCATCTTATAGCCTAAAGTTATAGGCTACATTTAGGATTTAAAAAAAAAAGTAAATAAAAGAGTGTACCAGGCTGACAGTATAGAGCGTAATTGCCTACGCAGACAAACACATATTTGTTTAATTTGTTATAAGAAATAAGAAGTAGCTGGCAGGGAATTTTAGAAAAGTGATTCTTAAACATTTTTTGCAGCGCTGCAACAACTCTCCAATTTCAAAGTATTTGTCTCAAGCCCCCTTCCATCAACAACCGATCAAAAATATTGCGAAACAATAAATTGTTTTCAGATGAAACTATCTCTTCATTATAGTGATGGTATTCACATGATTTTTTTTTTAACGGTTCACTTCCCAAATAACTGTTTTAAATAGTTTTTTAAAATGCTATTGAGCGGAGAAAGGTAGATAATTTAAGCGAAGAGAATGGTATACGTAAGCTTCAAAAAGAAGGACAGGACAATAAAATAAGTATGGTTCAACTATGAGCTTTCCTCATTATTGCGAAATGATTGAATTTAATTTTAACTGCTTAAATTTTTATTTTGCAGTTCACAAATTTGTAGGCAAGCATTTATTACATTACATGGATTGGGGAAATAATAAAAAGTGACTGGTTGGGGGGGAGGGGTGTTGCATGGCTTTAAGTCCTGTCAGACTAACTAAAAGATGGGTGTTCGTTCTTTTAAAACTGTACGAAAGCGCAAAAGAACCTCAAAAGGCATAATCATAAATTATGTACTTCACTCAGTACTCAATGTCGAAGTAGTTTTAGATGCAATTACATGATAATGATTAGTTGAAATATGAGCTCATCTCTACAGCATTAATAATAGCAAGTCTGACCACCGCTTTCACAGCAGGCAAGATGTAAGAATAAGCCAATAAAAATGAAAAAAAACCTTGTGGTGCTAAGAGAAAAACGAGAAATAAACTTGGAAACTGCACTGCTTTGGCAGATAACTGCAGACAAATAAAAGCGTTTTTCTAATGAAAAATTTGTATTAATTTAAAAAAGGAGTAGCTCCCCTTTGTTCAGGTTAATTGATTTTATTCAAAAGTCAGGGTTGTTCAAAAAAGCAACAAAAACTATTTTGTTAACAGGGAGGGGTGGGGATGTGAGTTCAAATAAGTCTCACAAAATCCTAATTACATGGGACACTACTCATATTTATTTATTTTAAACATTTTCTGAGTCTATTAAATATTAATTTTCTCCCCTATTTTTTTAAAATCCTTGAACCCCACCATTAAAACAGCGCATCTTTGATACAAACTTCCACACACTTCAATGTGACTCTGTTCAAAGACACGCCAACAAACACTAAACACTAGAATGGTGTTTTCTTCACAGTTTATTTATCTTCTCCACAACTAGACGCTGTCACTGTCAGTCTTTGACTCTGACGCTGTCCGCATTTGAATCTTATGTACTTATGTTGTGTGAAAGTTTCTGCTCCCATCACTTTCAAAATCAAGACATCATAATCATCACCATCACCAGAGTTATTACTGACATTCTCATTCAAAAAGCTGTTAGCAGACAGCAGTATCTTGATACTGTGCAGACATTGTCCCGCTTGAATACTAAAACACAGAAATAGTTTCGTTTTTTGTTTTTTTTCTATCCATTTATCAATTAATCGGAGTAAAAATAAAAAGCTCTACACATTTCTAATTTACAGGCACCGAGTTCCAAAGAAATAATAAAAAGAAAATAACTATTGTGACAAGATATGTTTAGGCTTGAATTATATAGTATCGTTTATTCTCCAGAGATGTTGGATAAAGCAGAGACACTTTGAGATAGAAATAAAGATTAAGATGATAAGAATTTTGTTTTTCAAAAGCCTTTTAACATTGGATCACACTATTTTAAATGATGAGAAATATTTCAACATTATCTTAACATAGTTCAGTCTGCAGTTGATACTTGATAAAAGTTCTTTATGCGAAAATATGGGAGAAATGAGGGACTGGGGGGTTGGTTGATCAAATACCACACAACCTGATGTTATTTGATAACTGAATAAAGATTTGGAGGGACATGAGTAAAGCTTAGCAAATATAAATCCTATGGATATAGTAACTAACTAATATTAGTAGTTTAAAACATTGTTTTACTTAAGCAAACACATTGGAGATTTATATAGATCGACAAAATTATGGTCAAAATTTTAAATTAAAAATGTTTGAATGGAAAATTACTGTAATTTATAAATATTTAAAACGTTATTTAATGTAAGATGTGCCAATATGTCTCTGAAGAAAATCTTTGTTAGCTTGAAATATATCAGCTGGAATTATAAAATAATTTGTATTATCAATTTTAAAATAAATAAATATTTAATCTTTTTTAAAAATAAATTTACCATCTTCCCAAAGCCTTGTTTGAAAGTTGTTCTGTGGTGCTGAAATCCATCTAGCATATAAAAACCAACAAGTGATCATTGTTTGCTTTCTTTTTTTCCCAGCCTATGATTAAAATAATAAGATTATTTATTTTGTCCATTAGGATTGTTTTAGCAGACAAACAATTTTGGGCATTCTGATTTTAACTTCTACAACTAACTTCAATAAACCTATCATTTCTAAAAATTTATATAAAATTAAAATGTACTGAAATAATATTAGTAATTTAATTTCTTATGGTAATTTTTTTATGTTCTATGTCAGAAATTTAAAGTGTTCTAATTGAAAATATTTATATTTATCACTATAAGAGAAGGGTAATACTAAATGGTGAAAATCTTATCTTTCAGATAATTTGTAAATCGCCAACGGTATTACCAAATACTCCTCTATTTCCCAATCTCAAGTGTTCCTAATAGTTCAATAGGAAGGCAGTACATTCTACTTGAAATTAACATGAACATGTCTTTTATTATCTGATATAAACAATCAATAACATCAATATTGTGGAGAGTTCGGACCACGCACCAGCGCCGGCGCCAGACAGTTACCGGCCATCAGGGATTACGGCCGTCTGACCACCCAGACACGACCGAAGGATCAAACACCTGACCATTTACGGCCGTCTGACACCCAGACACGACCGAAGGATCAAGCGCTGGGGGCGGTATCGGCCATCTATCTGACCAGGGCATTTACCTGGGACGTCTAGACCATGGCGGCAATTGAGAAAAAGGGGGCGGGGTATAATCTGGACTGGGAGAGGAACTATGGGACGGGGAGGTATAAATAGGGATCTCTGGACGGGACGAGAAGTAGGAGGACGGACTGAGAACTAGATAGCAAGTAGAAGGCGGACGGACTGAGAACTAGATAGCAAGTAGAAGGCGGTCGGACTGAGAACTAGATAGCAGGGAGAAGTCAGAGTTGTGAGACGAGTGAAAGTGTAAGCAAGTGACACCCAATAAAGAACACGAGTTTAAATGTTATCGCCGGAGTTGTTTCCTTATTGAGTACCAGATCTAGATGAATATAGCAGAGAGTAAGCAAGGTTTCCTTACAATATTCAATATGTCATAAAAAGCTCATACAGATTTTAACAAAATTCTTCTTACTGGTAACCTGTTCCCTGTCCGTTCCAACCTGGTTGGTGGTTGTGGCTCCGAAACTCTAGCGCAACTTCATCTCTGTCTATTGGCTGATCAAAAATGTCTTCATCCATCATCAGAATTACCTTACACCAAGATTTCTGTTAATGGTAAGCCATGAGATCATATTTTTTCTATGGACTCATTTTTATAATATAATAAGGCAAGAAAAAAAAAAAGAAATGAAAATTAAAGGAAATACCAGATTTAAAAAAAAAAAAGTACATCAGGCCAGACAAATAAAATTTTTACCATTTCTAAATGCTTGAAACCATCACAGTTCTTGTCTTTGTAGAGATGTATTGTTGATGCTTGAATGACAGCTTTTTCAAAGAGACCTAAGGAAAAAAAATTACCAAAAATTAGAAAATTGTTTAGTCACAAAAACTGTATTTCCAGACTTATTCATCTACTGATGTATCACTTATTGTTAAGAAATAAAATGACTTATGATATCTTCGTCCCTTATATCATAAAACAATTCTCAATTTGGAAGAAGTAATCTTGCATGGTTGCCAAGTTGTATTATTATTGGTTGTCTTTGTTGTTTTTTTGTTGTTGTTTATTGTGATTATAGCAAAATAAAAATCCAATATAATTTTAATTATGATGAAAATATGTACATATATGCACTGAAAAAAGATAACGGAAAAACACATTCTATTTTTTTAACGGATATTTTTGTTATCCTTAAGATGTGTAGAGTTAGAGATAACTAATATTTTATTGACACATTTGAGACATAAAATAACTAAACACACATTTTACAAGTTAAGTAGTAATAGCATGCATTTATGTGTCACTTTAATCATAATCATTATCCTCAAGACCTCTTCATCATGTATGTTTTGTTAATATGAAATGAAATAAAATGCTAAGAGTAAGGTATTATATCATAAAACCTTAACATTAAAATATTTACAACTTTACCATAAATTGTGAAACAGTACAATTGGCTCATGTGGCAAAAACGGCAAAAATCACTGAGCCAGTAAGATGAGCTCATGTGATTCAAAGAGTTATTGTATGACACTATATTAAACATTGTCTATTCAACCATGTAGAATGGAAGCATATTTTCGTACTATGAAATTGG